GATCTCTGCCACCCAGATCTATGGCTACAGAGCAATTTTGTGGGCCCCCCGTGGCTTGATCTGGGCTCCAGAAGCCTTTTCCAAGCCTCTGGAGCCCAGATCCATGGCAGCAGAGCAATTTTACGGCCCCCAGTGGCCTGATCCGGGCTCCAGGGGCCTGGAAAAGACCTCCAGAACCCAGATCTATGTCCATGGAGTGATTTTGCGGGGGCCCCTGTGCCCCGATCCAGCTCGAGAGGCCTTTTCGAAGCCTCCAGAGCCCGGATCCATGGCCATGGACCGATTTTGCGAGCCCCCAGCTGCCCGAAAAGGCCTCCAGAGCTCGGATTGAGCCACAGGGGGCCTGCAAAATCTCTCCATGGCCATACATCTGGGCTCCAGAGACATTTTCCAGGCTTCTGGAGCCCAGATCAGGCCACAGGGGGCCACAAAATTGCTCTGCGGCCATGGATCCGGGCTCTGGAGGCTTAGAAAAGGCCTCCGGAGCCTGGATCGGCCATGGAGGAGGGTGTAAAATTGCTCTGCAGGTGGCAGAGGCCTTTTCCAGGCCTCCAGAGCCCAGATTGGGCTGTTGGGGGTCCGCAAAATCGCTCTGCAGCCGTACCTGTACTCACGCTGGCAGCTTAGAAGGAACTGGTTCTTCCGGTCAAAAAAAAAGGTGCCGGAACATCGTTCTGTGCGTTCTATTACAAGAAAAGCCCTGACTACTACTACTAACCTTCCTGGTTTTTTAATGGGGTGGGGGTTTGCCTGGGAATCTGAGGGATCTAGGTGAAACTGGGAGATTAGGAGAAAAAAAGGAGGAGGAGGAGGAAGGGAAGAGACAATCCGTTTCCTCATCTTTTGAAGACAACTACATAAATGAAATTATGAGTCCATCTGAAAAGGAACATCTTTCTTCTTATCTTGACATCCCTGTAATATTTACCTGGGTATAAATCCCAATGAATTCTCTTGTAATCTCTTGGGGTTTTTTTTAACTGATCTGTATAGGATTACACTGCAAATTGATTTAATAGATTAATAATATATAATATACAATAATATTAATAAAGGAGAATATTGGTAGCTCAGGATTAAAATGAGGGGTCTTTGCTTTCAACATCTGCAAGAAACGTTGTGGAAACATCTGCAGGAAAACTCAGAGAGCACCAAGGGCCCTTAATCGTTTTGACCAAGAAAACCTATTGCTTTGTTATGTTGTTACACATCTTACAACGACTAGTCCTTCAAGGACAGACACTGAAGTCCTGCAAATATCTGTTCAGTGTAAAATCCTATTAAACTAAAGGATTATTTTTAGCTACACTTAAGTTGGAAATAAGCCCATTTGAACTTAGCAGTGAGGTGTAGAGCTCTACATGAATTAGACGATCAATTAATACCAGCATGGCCTGTCCTGGCCAGTTGAGATAGATAAAAATGCATTTAGGTGGAGAAAGATTGACAATGTCTGTGTCATAGGAGAGAGGAAGCTGCAAAGAATTAGGTCCACTCTTTTAGGTCCACTGTTTTGGGTGAAGGAGGAAAGTGATGCTTGTGGAAAGTGAAACATTAGAATAGGTGACCTTACTTGAAGAGCTGAATTACATAATATTAGATAGATAGATAGATAGACAGACAGACAGACAGACAGACAGACAGACAGACATGATTGGATGGATGATAGATAGATAGATAGATAGATAGATAGATAGATAGATAGATAGATAGATAGATAGATAGACGGAGGGACAGACAGACAGACATGATTGGATGGAAGATAGATAGATAGATAGATAGATAGATAGATAGATAGATAGATAGATAGATAGATAGATAGATAGATGGATGGATGGATGGATGGATGGATGGATGGATGGATGGATGGATGATGGATGGATGGATGGATGGATGGACGGACAGACAACAGACAGACATGATTGGATGGATGATAGATAGATAGAGAGATAGAGAGACAGACAGACAGACAGACAGACAGACAGACAGACAGAGACAGATGCCTTCATAGAGGATGCAAACAAAGCTGTTTCTCTAGGAATAGCTTGGCTTGGTTGATCTAAAAGATAACCTAAGAAGGCAGGTAAGTGATTATAAATATTTCGGAAATATTATTTAGCTCATATATTTTAAAAATATGACAAATTATATTTTCTGTGATGAAGAACTTGTTTGAAAAAAGTTTAAACTATTAAACCATTAAAATTTCAGGATATTGTGGGGCTGAATGCCTACTTCCTTGTTTCTGAAAGGATTTTAACCATTTTAACTCCGATTCATTTCAGAGTTAGCGTACTCTTCTTTCAATGTGTATGGATCCTTGTGGGTGCTAACTCAAGATTCTAAAACAAGGCAGCATAATATGTTATGGTATGTATATTATAACATATAATATATATATTATAATGGCTTACCTTCAGAAGTTGTGGGTGCTTCATCAGTGGAAGCTTGTAAGAAGAGACTGGACAGCCACTTGTCAAATGGTATAGAGCAGGGGAAAGCAACCTTGGCTCTTTTATGACTCGTGGACTTCAACTCCCAGAATTCCTGAGCCAGCAGGGCTCAACTTGGAAACCTCTCCCTGTCCCCTCAGCATGGCTGGCTCAGGAATTCTGGGAGTTGAAGTCCACGAGTCATAAAAGAGCCAAGGTGGCCTACCCCTGGTATAAGTTCTCCTACTTGAGCAGAGGGTTGGACTAGAACACCTCCAAGGTCCCTTTCCAGCTCTATTATTCTGTATTCTAATAAAATTAACTGAGTGAACGAATTTATAGCGCAAAGATTAAAATACTGGCCCGTCATTGGATAGAGCCAGCCTCCTCCATAAAACTGTGCTAGGAAATCTCAAGGAGAGGCTGAAGAGGGCATGATCTCCAAGGCTGATGCCTCCAGCTTCCAAAAGATAGTTGTAATATGGCCACCAGCCAGCTTGTCCCTCTCAACTTCCTAGCTGGACATCTATGGAATTATGAGCTGCCACCAAGGAACTAACTCTCTCTTCACACCAGTGGTTCTCAACCTGTGGGTCAGGACCCCATTTGGGGTCGAATGACCATTTCACGGGGGTCGGCAAACAATGCAGTCTGCCATTTTTTTCCCCTCTTCCTTAGCTGTGCTACTCCCTTTTATTCTATTGGCTTTTGAAAGCCAATAGAATAGACTCTCTTGAATCGAGTCTAATTCTATTGGCTTTCAAAAGCCAATAGGAATTGTCCAGGCTGCCTCTGCCCTGCTGAGCCCGCCAAAAGTCCCATTCTGCAAACGGTGCTGCCCCAGTTGAGTAGTCCTCGACTTACGACCGGTTGAGTAGTCCTCGACTTACAACCGGTTGAGTAGTCCTCGACTTACGACCAGTTGGGGGGTCACGCATTAAAAAGGTTGAGAACCCCTGCTTCACACCTTGAGCTGAAGGGAAAACCAAGAAGGATCTTCACCCTGCCGTTGGTGTGACTTAACTTTTCTTACCGTTGGCCGATCTTGCATTTCAGCCCCTGCTCCCCTTTCAACCCAGAAAGGGGCTTTGAGCTTGCCTGGACGCTCCATTGCAGAGACAGTTGCAGAAGAAAAGCTGGAGATGAACCTGCCTTGCGAGTCCAAGACCGGGGCAATCGCGGAGAGTTCTCTTGACAATGCGTCAACGGGGCAAGCTCAGCGCCCGACCCAAATCCTGAATGCGGATCCGGACCGAAAGGATCCGGAGGGATGCCGGGGGGGAGGGGAGAAGCAAAAAGAGGCCGGGAGGGAGTCTCTACCACCTGCTTGCTCAGGATCGCCGCAGCCCAAAATGGCAGCGCTCCGGCGGCCGTGGGTCAAGCCTTACGTAAGCAACGGGGGGGGCGAAAGGAGGGGAGGGGGCTTCATGGGCTCAACACGGCCTTGCACTCCCGGTAAACAGGGGCGTGGGGAGGGGGAGGACAGGCGCTCTGCATGTAAACGCTGCGAACGGCGGAGCGAGGTGAGCAGCATCGGTGCCCTCCTCCTTCTTCTCCTCCTCCTCCTCCTCCTCTCCTCCTCCTCTCCTCCTCCTCCTCTTCCTCCTCCTCTCCCCCTCCTCCTCCTCTCCTCCTCCTCCTCCTCTCCTCCTCCTCCTCCTCCTCCTCTCCTCCTCCTCTCCTCCTCCTCTTCCTCCTCCTCTCCCCCTCCTCCTCCTCTCCTCCTCCTCCTCCTCTCCTCCTCCTCCTCCTCCTCCTCCTCCTCCTCTCCTCCTCCTCTCCTCCTCCTCTCCCCCTCCTCCTCTCCTCCTCCTCCTCCTCTCCTCCTCCTCCTCCTCCTCCCTCCTCCTCCTCTCCTCCTCCTCCTCCTCCTCTCCTCCTCTCCTCTCCTCCTCCTCCTCCTCCTCCTCCTCCTCCTCTCCTCCTCCTCCTCCTCCTCCTCCTCCTCCTCCTCCTCCTCTCCTCCTCCTCCTCCTCCTCTCCTCCTCCTCTCCTCCTCCTCTTCCTCCTCCTCTCCCCCCTCCTCCTCTCCTCCTCCCTCTCCTCCTCCTCCTCTCCTCCTCCTCCTCCTCTCCCCCTCCTCCTCTCCCCTCTCTCCTCCTCCTCCCCTCCTCCTCCTCCTCCTCTCCCCCTCCTCTGCTTTCTCCTGCTCCTCTCCTCCTCTCCTCCCCCTCCCCTCCTCCCCTCCTCCTCCTCCTCCTCTCCTCCTCCTCCTCCCCCTCCTCTGCTTTCTCCTGCTCCTCTCCTGCTCCTCTCCTCTTCCTCCTCCTCCCCCTCCTCTGCTTTCTCCTGCTCCTCCCTTCCCGCGCCAGCTCAGGGCTTGCCAGGCCGTCCCTCCTTCCCTCCTCTAATCCCCGCCCGCTGCCCGCCAGCCAGCCCCGGGGAGGGACGGCGGGAGGGAGCGCGCGCGCGCGCGGGCGCGCGCGCCTCTGCTGCACCGCGCAGTTCCCAGCCAGTCGGGCCAGAGGCAGGAGCGCTGCCAGGCTGTCGCAGAGGGCGCCCTCTCCCACCCTCCTGCCCCCCCCGCTGCCCCCCCCCCGCAGCTCCGAGGGAGCGGGCGAGAACCCGCGCCCCGTGCCCGTGCCCAGCCCAGCCCAGCCCACGAGTCGGGAGGATGGAGGTGCCTCGCCTGGACCATCCCCGGAGCAGCCCGGCCAGCCCTTGCGAGGATGTCCTCAAGAACCTCAGCTTGGAGGCAATTCAGCTCTGCGACCGGGACGGTGAGTTGGCGCTTTTCTCTGGGCCTTTGGGCTGAGGGCCGGTGCCGAGGACCCCCACATCCCCCTCACACACCCTTCCCAGGCCTCCTGCGCCGCCGGCTACGGACCATCGCCGCCCCCTTCCCGGCGCAGCCCGTCCTTGCAATTTGCAGCTAACAAAAGGATTTTTTTTTTAGAGGGAGGGGCGGGGAAGCGCCTGTCTGTCTGCCTGGAGAGGAAGAAGGCACCTCCGCGGCCAGTTCCTGGCAGAGCCCGGTGTTGCGGCGGCGGCTTCCAGGGGCTGCCAAGGAGGGGCAGCGGCTGCTCGTTCGCGCGGAGCCTTTTGGAGAGCCCCCGTTGCGCGCAGGCCGCGGGGCCCGGCCGGGGAGCTCCTGGCGATGCTCCCTTGGGGTGGAAGCCGAAGCCCCCCCCACCGTGGACCCGTGGTGGATCGGCCCCTTTGCGGTGCCTTGAAATGGGGGGGGGGGTAGACGTGAGCCTGGGAGGGGAGAGAAGGCGAAGGGAAAGGCGGCTCTTTTCTACCCCAAACCTGTTGCGGATCCGCCCGATGCGCTGCGCGGCCCCGGTGAGCATCCAGCCCCTCCGAGCTGGGTGGTGACCGACCCAAGCGGGCGGGGGGTGGGGGAGGCGCAGACGCCGGGAGAGGAAAGGTGGCAGTTCGGCGCCGGCAGCGAAAAAAAATGAGAAGCGGGCGGGTGGGAGGTTTCAGCACCCTGGACAGCGCTCGGGTCCAACCGGCCTCCATTGAGTGACGACCCGCCAGATGTGGCGCTTCGGTTCGCTGCTCAGCTCTTTGTTCTATACCCGCCCAGTTCCAGATGTTCGCCTCCTGGGAAGCCGAGGGGCTTTGGCAAGGAGGGTCTTCCCATCCGAGGGATGGCAGCTTAGCCATCCTTTATTAATGAGCCGGAAAGTTAACCATGCTTAACCAACGAAGTTTAGTTTTCACGTGTGCAAAGGGTCAAACGAGCCAGGCTAGAAGGCTCTCCAGTAACCAGTTCTGTGTTACTGGTGCCTCCGTGCCCACGGTTTGCAGTGATTCTGGCACTTGTTAGACCTCTATATTTATGTGTTAGTGCACACAAAACCCAACCTGGGTCCAGAATTTAATATTTTAGAGGACTATCTTCCAGAGTGTCGTTTATTTTTAACTTATTTATTTGCTAATCTGCTTTCCTTCTCCCTTCTTGTTTAATGTACTTATCAAACGGCTTTAGTGATCTTCTGAACATGGGGGAATTTAATGAGAAATGTCTCATCTCTAAATACTTAGCCTATTTGGAAAAGTATGCTTGAAATGGATCCTGGATTTTTTCAAGGCTGCAGATGAAGTCAAGCAACAAAGAAGGTTGGCCACAGCCAGCAGTTTTAGAGGGAGCGTCATGTACTTAAGCGTTCTAAGGTTGGGCATTTGTGCAGCCTCTGGGTTTAAACAGCCTTTTAAGATTCTGCACAACAGTCCACTATTACAGGGTGGATATAATGGGATAATTACAAAGTATTTCAGATTGCCACTGCAATTACTTCAAAATCTTAGCTGAAGAAAGCTTTCTAGATCAGAGTGGGCAATGACATGGTAGTCACACTTCATTTCCGTTATGAGAATATTGATCATGCAATATCTTTTCCTAAATTGGATCTGATTGTTCTGTTTCCCTCAAATGCCAACTTAATGTGAGTGTGGATGAGAGAGAGAGATGTGTTTTTCCATAGTTGTTGTAGTCGAGTCAAATTTGAGATGCTACATGTTGAAGACACATTGTGCAACTTTCTTGGTCTCAACCAAAGTGGTGTGAAGTAGATGAAATTCATTGGAATAGGCTGCTCATTGGCACAGCACAGAGTCTAAATTATCAAGCACAATCACCTAGTAACAGCCTTATTGGTGTGTTCTCTCTTCTTGGATGAAAAGATAGGACAAAAAAGTAGCAGATGGATATCAGGGGGAATATGACATGCTTTCTCTTTGATAGGCCTTAGATGTCCAGCTAATGCGTATAGTCAAGGCCATGGTTTTCCCAGTTGCAATGTATGGCTGTGAAAGTTGGACCATAAGAAAGGCTGAGCAACAAAGAATTGAGGCCTTTGAACTATGGTGCTGGAGAAGACTCCTGCGAGTCCCCTGGACTGCAAGGTGATCAAACCGGTCGGTTCTAGAGGAGATCAACCCTGACTGCTCTTTAGAAGGCCAGATCCTGAAGTTGAAACTCAAGTACTTTGGCCACCTAATGAGAAAGAAGGATTCACTGGAGAAGGGCCTAATGCTGGGAAAGATGGAGGGTAAGAGAAGAAGGGGATGACAGAGAATGAGGTGGCTGGATGGACTCACTGAAGCAGTAGGCATAGACTCCAGAAGATGGTAGAGGACAGGAAGGCCTGGAGGAACGTTGTTCATGGGGTCGCGATGGGTCAGACATGACTTCGCAATTAACAACAACAACAAAATGTCTGGAAGAATTAAGATGGTCTCCCTGTAATGCTCCAAGGGCTTTTCCCATATCAAGCTCTTAGTCATTCCTTGAGGGACCTCATTTCAAGGTTTTTTTTTTAATGAAAGTGGAAAGAAGAAAAGAACATGCATTTTTATGTGCTTTGCATGGATCTTGAAACATATTTAGTGCCCAACAAGTGTCCTTTAGGAGTCACAAATGCCTCTATGGGGGAAGCACAGAAGTGCAACAAATACACACTTTGGAAGGAAGACATATCTTCATTTGCTCACAGTCTTTAATACAGTGGTTCTCAACCTGTGGGTCGGGACCCCATTTGGGGTCGAACGACCATTTCACGGGGGTCACCAAACAAGGCTGTCCGCCATTTTTTTCCCCTTTTTTTTGGCCACGCCCCTGGCACCCGGTGATGTATAAGTGGTTGGGGGTCACCACAACATGGGGAACTGTATTATGGGGTCACGGCATTAGAAAGGTTGAGAACCACTGGTTTAATACAACATAAATAGTACTTATTTTTAAATAAGAGGTGCCATTTGTCAAGCATGCTCTAATACAAAAAGTATTTCTGGGGTTTTGGTCTCTGTGAAAACTTGATTGAAATGAATGGTTGTTTCACAACAGCCTTTTGAAAGAGGATGTGAGTTTGATTGGTAAAATCTATATTTCTTAAAAATCCCCTGGGTGTTCAGCTCCTCTCAAACTGACAAAAGCTTTAATTTCACTTTTTTTTTTCCCGGCCAGTAAATCTATGCAAGCCTCAACTAATAGCAAGCTTACAGAATTCAGCAACGCAGTCTTTATTTGATTTTATTTTCAAGGAACTTTCCTGCAGGTTTTCAAATTAACTTTTTTTTTAATTTGCACAGGATAAATCTAACCAGGAAATGCAATCTTACTTATTGACATGGATACACAGGAAAGCATGAGCATTATCTAGAAATAGGATTATTTTTATCTGGAAATAGGATGAACGATCCATATTTCATTTATAAATATTCTACAGTTCTGTGGTATGGCTCATTCTAGAATCCCTTTCACTTTAAGTGGAAAGTTGCTGGTCCTGGTGATCAAGAGATGCTAGGATGACTTCTGAAAAATCTATGTCCCATTCTTTGATGCTTTAGGGAGATGCCAGCTACAACTTCCATTAGAAATGGAGCAATATTTTCATTCCAAGGGCACAACCATCTTGTTTATGGAAAGTAATTTCACATGGAGGTTTTTTGCTCACAAAAACTTCATTGTCTTTTTTTTTTTTTTTAAAGCAAGACTTTAGGAAACTGAAAGAGAAGTAGAAACGCAACTGGTCCAGGTGCCTCACTATTTCCTCCTTAATGCTCTCCTTGTTAGAATCAGCTGCAGTCCCGTTCCCAATTATTTTGTTGAATTCAGTCTAAAATGTTTTTATTCCATTCAACTCCTTCTAATTCACAGATATCTGTGACTGCGCTTGACATATCTTTGGTTGTTTATTTGCATCAGTCTTTCTAGCGGCACGGAAATTGGAAATGTCTTGACAGTGTTGAATGATTCCCACATATTTGGTTCTTTTGCGATCTAAACATTTCAATATTTTTTTTTTTGTGAGATACACCCACACCTCCGAGTGCTCATTCCTGAGTGCAAGAATATGTGGATCTTCTTTATAAGTTCATTTCACAGTCAGAGGGGCAATATATATCATTTTTATGTTGGGAAATAGGAATTGTAAAATAACTTTCCCCAATTGAAAATGAAATGCAAACATTTAGTAAAGGAGCATCAGCCACTTATATTTAAAAGATCATTGAGAGGATACCCAACTTAGCCTTATCCTGAAGGTGCAGAAATATTGTTATAGAATCCTGTTTTCGCTTCTGATCATAAATACCCCTTTGGGTCTTCTTTCCTTTAAATTCATAAAAACTTCATCTCTAGGCACCTCCAGGCATGATTATCATATTACCTGTGTAGCACAGCTTTGTGAACGTACAGTATGTGTATAAAACAGGGTTGAACAAAATTTCCTAGAATTATCCGTTGGATTTTATATCATAATATGTGCATAAGAATATTTTTCTCGTGTAGTACCCACAGAAGTGTGGATCTTAACTCTGTTAGGAGAGTGTCAAAATCAGGAGATTCAGGCAGTTAAAATGTGTATATAAAGATTTATTGCAAGCTTAAGCTCTCTACAAGAATCTGAGCTACTAATTGTCAAGGGAAATGAGCAGGAGATAAGAAAGTCATTCAAAGTAATCTGGACTTAGATTTCTTGTGAGCATGCAGGGACTCGTGATTTATGATGTGTTTGACCCTTCCCTCAGGCTCAGCCTGGTCATCTCCTGCATCAATCCAGCATCTTAGATCCCACCACATCTAGCTAAATCCTTCTTGGAAAGACTGTGCATATCACAAATAAGGACTAAGAGTCCTGCTGACTGTGGACACATTGTCCCATTTTGTTCCTTGGCATTCCATGGATCAAGGTTGCAAGATTGTGCAAAGAAGTTACATTTAGTCTGGAATTTTCAGGAAGTTCTGAAGTTCTAAACCAGTGGTTTTCCC